TTAAGAAAACTAACTGAGCCTTCTGACCCTGTAATATAGTGTCAACCGCGTTATTGAAAACTTTTGAAGAGGCTGCTATTATTACTTCCATTGTTGCGGGTATTGGTTGGGTAGGTAAGAAAGTGCTCAAAGAAGACGTTGCTAATTTTGCTAAAATGACCGCTGCCGTAGGTGGAGCTATTATGGTAAAGGAGTAATTACAAACGGAAAAATGCATTCCTTCTAACATATAAATGGCTATGATAGGAGGCGCAGTATTTGCAGTTTTAGCATTCACTGGGGCTCAGTATGGTGCCAGAGCTATAGGATCGAGCAATACATGGTAACCCAAGCAAAGACATGCTAGCTGAAAGAAGGAGGCATGGCTTAGCGCTGGAGAAGTATCAAAAGGACGTGGCGGCATGGAATGAAAAAAGACAAGCTTACAGGGATTGGCTGGATAAGAACTACCAAGACAAGATGCAGGCGGATAACAACTTCGAAAACACAGACTACGCCTTTAAACTCTATGCACAGACGCATCCGGACTTCAAAATCAACAAACCTCAGTTCAAGAATTACTATCAGCCTTCTAAGAAACAAAAAAGATAGCGAGCTGGTCTTTGTTGGTATTGCCGGACTGGCCGGAGGCGCAGCTTTGGCGTGGGCACTGGAAAGTGCCTATAATATATGATCATCTTTTTGGAAAGCGACAAAAATAACTTTACCACGTATTTGAATCCCCCCATMAAAGCCCATAAGGTTCGGCTCATAAGTTGCTCTTTGTACAATTCTTGGTATAACTTGATCAATGGTGTGGTCATTGAGCATACAGGAGAATCTAACTATCAACAGGTAATGCTGCCCAATGGACATTACACCCCAATCACACTGGCCAAGGAATTAGCAAAGCACGGTTATACTCTCACCACAGGATTGCCGCACGAAATGACTATCAAACATAATATGTCAAATTATTCCGTAACTTTTGGAAAGCTTGACGCATTGGGGTCTTTATTATGTGCCTCGGGTAAGACGATTACCAACACGGCCATACCTGTAAATTGGAAAGTCGCATCCTCTTATGAAGTCTATTGCGATTTGGTTCATAGTTACAGCAATGGAAAAAAGTMTTCTCTTATGTCCAAGTTTCCGCCCAAAGGTAATCCATTTGACTTAGTCGAATACACTCCCATTTCTTTGAGCTATGACTTGCCTTGCGAATTGGTAGAAAGCATAACCGTCACCATCAAAGTGGACGGAGAGACAGTGGACTTCAACGGCCGCAAGATCAATCTCGTCCTGGAATTCATATAATGCCCCGCGTAGAGGACAAACTCAAGAAGATTTACTACGGGCCCGAAGGCTATTGGAGAGGAGCGTCAGCTATCAAGAAACTTGCAGCCGCGGCCAGGGTACCAGAAGAAACGGCTAAGAACTGGCTAAAAAAACAAACCCTCTGGCAGGTTGATCTTCCCGTGCCTAAGTACATTCCCAGGCCTAGCTTCACCGTAAATGCCCCCAACAAAGTTCATCAGCCGGATTTGCTTTTCTTACCGCACGACAAGGTGAGAAGAAAGACCTATAGATACGCTTTGACCGTAGTTGATATCGCAAGCAGATACAAGGACGCCGAACCCATAACCAGCAAGGATTCTGGGGAAGT